ATATATTAGAATATATATATATTATAACTTTGTCTACTTAAGGTAGAGATGCAGGTTTGTGGGCACTTGGGAGTGAAATTTGACGATCACAGAAAGAAACAGAGACAGATTTATTTTTCAATCCTTTGATTACTATTTACCTTTCTCGAAATAAAACTATACAATTTTTTCCATATTATTCAAACATTTTGCTCTAGATATGTAGGTAATAGAAAATTATAGAAAAAATACACAATGAAATTTTCTTAATACCTTTTTGAGTTTTTTTGTCTTGATTTCAACTTCCTGCTGTAGTGAGGTGTACGTATCTTTTCTTTCTAACTGAGCTTCATCTTTAGTCATCAGTTGTTGCTCCATTTCACGTTCCTTTCTCTATTAAAAGAAACAAATTTGTTGTGGTTAATTTTCTGAACAAAAAAGCATACTATCGTAATATGTATGTGGATGTGGATGTGCAAGGCTTGGTGGTATGTGTGCAACTTGAAGTCTTACAATTCAGAAGGTCAACAGAAAATAATTGACTTGAATTAACACATCTCCTGCTTATACCAGTTTTCCAATTTCATTTTTCGGTGGAGGCTTCATTGAATGTTATGTGCGGCATTATGAATAACTTAAGGGACATATACAACATACCACCTTTGGAAAGCATCCACAGATAGCCAAAATGAATGGTAAATAGCAGCATCAGGAGGCCATGTGTTATTGTATTGGTTGGCAAGAATCAGTCATTTGCACAAGAAGATGAAATAATGCTGCTGTTCATCACTGTTGTTATTGTATGTGTTCTTGTTAATAAAACAACTTATGAGAAAGGTTTATGAAATGGGAACTCTAATTGGGACTAAAGCTTGTCGTTCCTACAGTCAATAAACCACGGTGTGCCATAATAAAAACCAACAGGAATCCAGGAAGCAGTGTTCAATGAATGCAGCAAATTCTATAATTACCTTTTGCTCAGCGATCTCCAAACGATGCTGTTCAAGTCTCTTCTGTTGTTCATTTGTATGATCCACTATACTTTTACCGCCTACGAGCAATTTACTTTCCATGGCTTTAATCTTAGTTGCTAAAGTATCTCGTGCTTGCTGCTGCTCTTTCAGCTGAATCTGTTTTGCCTGGGTTTCAGAAAGTAATCGATGTTTCTCCTGTATACAGAAACAGAATTGATTACAAAATTGTGTTGTGTAGAACTGAATATCTGTAGTGAAGTAGTGAAGATAATCTTAAATTACACAAATGCAAAGTTTTCCCTGAATCTCCTCTTGAAAGCCCAATGTGTA